AAAAAATCTCTACGAAGTGAGATCCCCTCTGTATCTTCCGCTCTTCTTGTAGATGTTTCTCTTCTTTGATCACCTGTAACGAGAAAGAGGAAGGAGGAAAAGGGGAAGGAGCAAAGAGAGGGAGAGAGAGGCAGAGAGAAACGTGCTTGAGAAGTTCTGAACTTTAGCACCTGACTTTTTAGGCAGGAGCAAACCCATCCCATCTCTGAGCCAGCCCTGGGAAGCGCCGCTCTGCCCTGAACCCACCTCTCCCAGCGCCTCTTTCTCTTTCGCTCTCTCCCCGCCCGGCTCGCAGCGAAGCCCGTGCAGCCGCGGCTCCGATTCCCGCTTCGCTTTTTCTCTCTCTTTTTTTTTTTTTTCCTCACTTTTTCCCCCCGTTTCTTTACTTTTCTTCTTTCATTTTCGCTCCTTCCCACCCCCCCTTTTTTTTTTGGTCGCCGCTGTTGTTTGTTTGTTTATTTATTTGCTCAATTTGCACCTGAGCAGCTCCAGTGCCTTAAGCCCGGTGAGAACTTGTGCCATTCGCTGCGCCGCAGCCTACGGCCGCTCTGATTGCTCATTAATTATTATGCAACCGGGAAAAGGGAGGAAGAGAGGGGAAAAGAGAGGAAAAGAAAATAAAAGAGGAGGGGGGAAAGCGATAGAGAAGAAGGTGGGGGTGCGAGGGCAAAAGGAGAAGGAAACGGGGGTGAGGGGGAAAAAAAAAAAAAAAAAGCCAAGTTGCAAGTTGCAAAAGAAATTCCGCACAAACCTTGGTGGAGGAGCAGTGTGTGACCCAGGAGGGATGAAGCTGAAAGTGCTTGATCGGATCGGATTGTGCTCGCTCGCTCTCCCTATTTTTTTCCTTTTTTTTTTTTTTTTTTTTTTTTTTTTTACAGGGAAGGCATTCTTTCTGAAAGGAGCAGGATGGCGCCAGCCGGCTCAGTGCTTACAGACAGCTGTGGCGAGACGCAACTTAAGGAGGTTCCAGTGTCATAAGCACGGGGGAGGCGGAGCCTGGCCCAGGGTGAGGAGGGGACCGCCAGGGACCGGCCCGGGGCGCACCCGCGCAACTCCGCGGTGGGCGACGCAACTTTCACAACTATTTTTTTTGCACTTCCCACCCCCCCCCCCCCCATCGTTGGTTATTTTTATTCTTTTTATTTACTCACCCTTTTTAAATTTTTCCCCTTTTTCTTTTTTTTTTTTTTCCTTTTTTATTCTTTACTTTCTCATTTTCTATTTACTTTCTCTTCCCATCTGTTTCCTTTTTTATTCTTTTTTTTTTCTCCGCTTTTTTTTTTTTTTTTACTTTTTTAACTTTATTTACTTTTTTATTCTTTTTTATATGTTTTCCCTCACTTTTTTTTTTTCCTCTGCCCTATTACTATTCTTTTCAAAAGAAAATAACTTTTCCCACTAGCCACGAAACTCTGGGAGCTGAGGGCAGCGCGGGTGCCGCTCCCCGACGCTGTGGGCTGCACGGGGGTCTTTCCTCCCGCCTCCCCCCGGCCCACCCCAATGGATGCAAAGCCTCAGGACGAGCCGTAGCTCCGGCAGGTGCAACACCTCCGGGAAAGAAAGCCGCGTCTCCTCGTGCTTAAAGCCGCTCTGACTCGGGAAAGATTTCTCTTTAAGGACCTGAGCGCCAAGTTTGGAAATAACACAATTTGGGGACGTTTAGCGTTGTTTCGTTGGAGTTTTCTGGGGCTTTTTTTTTTTTTTTTTTTTTTTTTTCCCTTCAAGTTCCAGCGGAGATCTCGGTTCTACAGGAGATCTGTTACAGACAGGCATGGTGTGCCCGGTACTGGGAAGGGTCCCGGCGGGGCTCGGCGAACGGACCCCGCTGCCCCCCGGGCTCCGCAGCCCGCGGCACCTCCCACCGCCCAGCGGGGGCCGCCGCCGCCGCTCTGTCAGCCAATGGGGGGAGAGCAGGAACAGGGGCGCCGGCAGCGAGCCGCGCTGATTGGTTGCCCGCCCGCGCCCCGTCGGCCCGGCCCGGCCGCTGCCTTGAGCCAGGGCATCCCCTAGCGGCCCCGACGTACCGCCGGCACGGCACCGGGCGTGGGATAGGGGCAGGGATGGAGCGGGGACAGAGCGGGGGTCTGAGGTGGATGTGGGGGAAGGCGAGGAAGGGGGGAGCGAGGGGAAGGAATGTTGGAAGGGTGGGGGGAGAAGAGAGAAGATAGGGGACAAGGGGAGAAGAGAAGAGAAGAGAAGAGAAGAGAAGAGAAGAGAAGAGAAGAGAAGAGGAAAAGGAAAGAAAAAGGGAAGAAAATAAGGGAAATGGGGAAAATAGAAGGGAAAGGAGAAGAAAAGGAAAGAAAAAGGAGAAGCAAAAAAAGAAAAAGGAAAAGGAAAGAAAGGGAAAGGATAAGAAAGGAGAAGAAAAGAAAAAGGGAAAGGGGAAAAAAAAGAAAGGGAAAGGAGAGGAAAAGGGAAGAAAAAGAAAAGGAAAAGGGAAAAAGGTGAAAAGGAGAGGAAAAAAAAAGAGA